AAGGTTAGGTGCCAGGAGCCAAAAGATCACCGGGCTGATATTCCCTGAGCACCAAGTGGCGTTTCCTTCTTCGCTGGAAGGGCTCCACCAACCACCATTGGCCCCTCCCCAGAGGCTGGAGAAAGCCAACCCCACCGCTCTGCCGCGTCCTGCTCTCTACCCACAAGAGGGCGCTCACTCCATGCCCCAGTATGTGGGCCTCTGGGGTTCTGGGAAGGTATCTGTCCAGGTGGTGTTGGATACAACCACGGCTGGTTGCAGCCTGGGATCTCAAGCCCTGGGTCCCTTCCTGGTTCCCAACTGTGCCAGTCACTGCACCCTGCGGGGAAGGAGAGGCCACTAGAGAAGGAGGGACACCAAAAGGTAAGGCTTCCAGTCCTCTTGAGACTGTCCACTCATCCCCACCCCAAGGAGGAAGAAGACAATGCCACAAACCTGGGCCCCAGGGAAGTGAGGAGGTAAGAGGAGAAGGAGGATATGGTTTCCCTTTGAGGTCCCCAGAGCCTACAGAGGAACTTGCCTGGGGCCCACCAGGCCTGCAGGGGACAGAACTGTGACAACTGCCCCATCACCCTGAGACACAATTTGCCCCCTTGCCCCCACCCTCACCCCAATGCAAACAATGAACTCAGGCAATAATTCAGACAGTTACTCACCTTCCCTGATGGGGGCTGAGAATGAGGCTTGACTCTGATGGAATAACTGGGGTGATTCATTCTGCTAAGGCTGTAGGGATTGGCTGGATCAATATTGACAGAAAAGCTTGAAGCCGTGGTTGCCCAGCCCTGGGGTCCCCACCTCATCCTGGGGAAGCCCCACTCCACCCCTTTCACAAACACCCCATGATTCACATATTCACACAGCTGCCAGCTTCTCAGACCACCGCCCCTAGTACAAAGAACCCTGCCCCCTGAATGCATGGACAGACTCCTAAAGCGTGCTTCCCAACTTCGACCACCCAGAGCATAGGCAGCAGAAGGGAACTCAAGCATCCAGTGTCCTGTCCGTCTGTGGTGGTCTCAACAGGATGACAGAACACTCCCTGACCAGGCGCTGGGCATGTCAGTGGCGCCTTCAATGCCCCCACTTCGCTGTACTGAGAACGTGGACCAGCCCTGCCCCCAGCACTTCTGGCCCTGCCACTCTGACCTTACTCAGAACAAAAATAAGTCTTCATCATCAGGGACCTTGCTAGGACTATCTCTGCTCCACTATGGGCTCAACACAGCCTGACTCAGGCACCATTTCCTTCTCCAAACCCATCCCAGAACCCACTCTCCCGGGGACCCCCTTGTGTGTGTCTGCATGCTAAGTCACTTCAGTCGTGTTCAACTCTTTGCAACTCCATGGACTGTGGCCCGCCAGGCTCCTCTGTCCATGGGGTTCTCCAGGCAAGAATGCTGGAGTGGGTTGCCATGCCCTCCTCCAGAGGATCTTCCTGACCCAGGGATCAAACCCACGTCTCTTATGTCTCCTACATTGCCAGGCGGCTCTTTACCACTGGCACCACCTGGGAGGCCTGGGGACCACTTGAGCCTTTCCTTAAGATAGCTTCACCCAGAGTGGACATCTTTTCTAATTGACATAAAAGCCAACTTATGAGCTCACAGCCACTCTGTTAGGATACATCCACCATCTTGTGAGGCTTCCACCAGTTTTCCTGGCCTGGTGAGTCACTGAGTCTCTGCCAGAGGTACCTGAGAGAAAACCTCCTGATGGCTGGCGCAGCGTCAGAGGAGGAAACAGAAATCACTGGGAAGCCAGGACACAGGGGTAGATTTAACCAAAAAATAATAATACATTTATTGTACAATTACCACCATTAGACAGACAGACCAGAGAGAAGGCGTCTCCACCTCTCAATTCATTTTCAGTCCCGGAGAAGTTCATTGTAGATCATAGCCAGGGCCCCCAGGAAGGTGACATATTCTTGAAAGTTCACCACACGGTCCTTGTTCTGGTCCATTTCGCCCACTAGCTCTGTGATTTCAGCATCCTGCATCTTTTAAAGTGTCAGAACGGGAAATCCAGACTCAACGGTGATGAGACCTTGAGTTCTCTGCATTTCCCCCTCCCAGGCAGCCCTCTCTCATACAAGTGTCTCTGTTCTCACTTGTCACCAAAGATCCAATTCCACCTTGGGTTCACTTGGCTTTACCTCTCCTCTGTTCCTCACTCAAGGGGAGGGAATAGCAGGCTGAGAGTATCCCCAGCCCCGCAGGAGTATGAACCAATGGTAAGGCATGTGGTCTAGGGCCCTGGAATGTGGACAGGGGTGAGTCAGATGCACCTGGCACCCCGCCCTCTCCCAATCCTGCTGCTAAAGAGTGGAAGGTGGGGAGAGGGGGGCTGAGAGGCTGGGAGGCTCACTCATCTCCCAAAGGGTAAGCTTCTTTCTCAGGGTGTTATTACCCTCACGGCCGGCCGGAGTACTTGTGGAAGATGGCCACCAGGAGGCTAATGGCCTGATCCAGGGGGGTCCCCATAGCTGAAGACTGGGCTCAGAGCTGCAGGCAGCGGGGCAGGTCAGCACCCTCAGCAGCAAGGCCTTCTCACTCACCCACAAACCTCAAGACCACCGTCAAGCAACCCCTTCAACTCCCTTTGACTAGGGTGAGGTAAACCTTGGTGGAGAAAGGAGAAAGCCCAGGGCTGGAAGGGGACGGGGAGGGCAGACTCTAGGGCCAAGAGATAAGTGCCCTGCAGAGAAGAGAATCAGAGCAGAGGTGGTTCAAGGACCCTAAGGAATAAATAGGACCACAGTTAAGAACTCTCCTCTAGAGATTCCAAGAAAGTTGGGGAGTATGTTGGGAGTGTGGGATGGAGGCTGCACACCCAGTCCCCCCCACCACACACACACACACCCTCACAGGACCACATACCATGGCGCTGACACACCCCACACCCGGGACACACCCTCCTGCACCCTACAAGGCCCGCTGTGGGGAGCTGTCCCATAGGATGCCTTAGCCCGGGGCCAGCCTGACAGGGCCTGCCTCTCCCCGACACCGGCCTATTCTGAATGCGGGCGGACTAACCCGGGAGCCCCGCCCCAGAAGGACCGGTGCTGCCCTGGTGAGAACTCGCCGACAGTTACCCTGAAAGAGAAGGGAGCGACCGACCGAGCGGAAGGCTGTGTGCTCGGCCAGCCGGCATTATAGCTGCGCGTCAGGGAAGCCGGTCAACGAAGGCCCCCCGCCGCCCACGTGCCGCCCCACGCCCCACCCTGGCCGGCTCTTTACACAGCAGCCCGGCCCGAACTTTCCATGCCCCCTTGCCCCGGGGGCTTTTCGGGGCTCCGTGGGGTGGGTGTGAGGGGCTTAAGGAAGACCTGCACACCCGCCTAATCTCCAAAACTCAGCGTGTCCCCCATGTCGTGATGTGACAGGGCAAGGGGAGGAGGTGGAGAACGGGCAGCGACTGTGTATGTGTGTGTGTCTGTCTGTCTGTCTGTCTGTCTGTGAAGTAAGGGGGTGGCGATGCAGGGGAAACCCTAGATGAAGGATAGAATTGACAGGGCATCTGGAACACCCATCCCACTAGGGAAAATAAATTCCTGCCACCACCACCCTCTCCCTCCCCCCACGTCACCCCCTCCCGAATTCCACTGGGAACCTCTTGCCCTTTAAACTGCACGCACACCCGCACACCCTAGAAGAGCCCTGTGTCAGTAGTTATTCACCCTCAACTGCAAAGTTTTTCAGATCCTCTCCTAAGAAAGGATTTTGATATGGAGAGGTGGGGAGAGCAGAAATCTCTGGACCCCAGAGATGATGGGGGTGGGGCTCATTGCAAAGGGGAAATGGGGGAGAAGGGGACTGGCATGGACGTCAAGGCCAGACTCTCTTTTCTTAGTGTGTTGGGGGGAGGGGGGGAGTGGAGAAAGCCTCCTGTGAGTCAGGGACAAGTCATTCTGGCCAGCCCACCACTGCCCTCAGGAACCACATCCCAGCTGCCCCCAGTGATAGGGACAGAATAAAGGGGCAAAGTAGTGGGACAGTTAATCCCACTAGAGGACTATAAGTAGAAAAAGTATGAGAGACCCCTATGAATTGATGATTACTCAAGAAACTGGCTTTGCTTAGCCACAAAACTAAGCAGGCTTGCTTAGCAGCGAAACAATGCATCAGAAACATAAGACATACCCCGAAACAACAAAACAGTGATGGCATGAGCCCCACATACTGCCCAGTGAGCTCAGAAAGTTAATGATCCCTAGGTCATGCTCTCTGTACTCATAAAAAACAGTAATTTGTGGACTTAACTTGATCACGTAGAGACAAGAAAACTCCCCTGGTCAACCCAGAGGAGGAGCTAATGATGGAGGCATGATGTCTACTCAAGAAAGACAAAGGTCTTCTCCCCCTCCCCACCTTTCCTCTCATTGTAAAATTGTAACCCAGTAAATTCTTAGGGACCAGCATCTCTCACTCATCCACTTGCAAGCCTCACAAGTCCTCTTCCAGGAAATCACTTCTTATCTATCACTTAGCCTCTTGCTGAATTCTTTGCTGTGCTGAGACATAAAGGGCTATGGTACCAGAGCTCTTTGGAGCTCCTGAAACAGCATGTAAGGATTTCACCGGTGTCCTCATTCCCCAAGCACTTTCCCCCAGCAGCTTTCTCTGCATACTTGCGGCATTCCCTGGAGGCAAGCAAAAGGCTGGCCCCACTTCCCCATTTATTTTTTTATTTTTATTTTTTTGGAGGGCAAGACTAAGCCTGGATAAGATTAGTCACATCCACTCTGAAGGAAACCCAGAACCCTAACTCCCAGAGGCTGTCCACTTACTCAAGGAGAAGCTCTGCCTGGCCCCACCCCACCCCCAGCCAAGGTGGAAAAGAATCTACCAAACCAGCCCTGGACACCTGGATTGGAAAACCTTTATTCCTCTGCTGGAGGGGAAGGCTGAAGCAGGGTCTATCTGGGAGGGAGGGGAAGGCGAGGGGCCATGGAGGGTTTGTGAGCAGAGCTGCAGCGGCCAGGGACCAGGCCCCGGTCACTGGTTCTCCTCCAGAAAGAAGTCATTGTAGGCCATGCACAGCGTGGTCAGGAACACCGAGTACTCCTTGAAGTCAATCTCCTGGTCGCTGTTCTTGTCCAAGCTCTTCATCAGGTCGTCAATGCTGCTCTCCTTCATCTTCTTCGAGGGCCCAGATAGAGAGATAAGTCAGCCAGCCTCCTCTCCCAGCCCTGCTGTGCCCCCTGGGAAGGTGGCCTCAGGCTGATCCCCAGCTGAGTCAGCAACACGGAGCATCTCAACCCCCAGAGCCTCCCCCCAGGCCACAGCCAGCATGGGATCTGACACCAAGCAGAGCCTCCGTGAGCTGACTCCTGAATCTGAATAAATGACTAGAGTGCAGGCTAGTGTAGGCCCCCCTCTTCCTCTCAACAATTTCTACCATTCAAAGAAACAGCTAGATTTCCTACACCACCTCATAGAAACAGCTTGGTGACTATACTGGCACTGAGCAGGATCCCAGTCTTACTCTGTCCTTGTTGCGGATCTTTCAGAACTCAAGCAGATCACACATCCCTCCACGAGAGCAGTGGTTAGAGCTCTGGGTTCCCAGCTAGGAGAGCCTGCAGGACAGCGGTATGGAACAAGTGCATGGCACCCAGGCCTGCTCTCTGTCTGGTCCCCTGCCCTCCCAGCCCAGCTCTACAAGAGGAGGGAGACAGGGCACTTGGGGGGAACAGGAGGATAATACAGGCACATCCTGCCCTCTCCTCTTCACTGCCCTCCACTCCAGCTTTGGCGCAGGAGACAGGACATCGGGACATACGGAGATGGAAACAGCCTCTCTGTGACGCCACGCTTGTCCCCAATCTGGGCTCCTGTTATAGCCAGGCCCTCCCCAGGGCCTCCATCTCCCTGTAATTAACCCTACCGGGCCCACGGCCCCTCCCTTTGCCCTCATTAACTCCAGGATGCAGAGAAGTACGCAGGAAGGCCAGAGGGGAGGCCTGGTGACACCCACCCCTGCTTCGGTCTCCTGTCCACAGAGACACATTCCCACTTTTCTCTAGGGAAGTCCACTAAGGTTCAGTGGACCCAGGCTGATTTTAAAGGAAAGAGGGAGAGTTATACATGGGGCTGGCCTGGAATTCCAGCCTCTCACTAGCTGGAGATTATATAATGTATCTGAGCCTTAATCTTTTTTTTAACTCTAACAATAATATGATGACTACCTCATAGGCTTCTCCCTCTGTCGGTTGCCTCCCTCCCACCATCTCCATCTGGTAAGAATCAGTTCTGCTTCCTTCCAACCTGTGTTCACAAACTAGCAGAATGGTCCTTTTGGGCCCCATGTCAGCGTCAGCTGAAAGCCCGGCAGTGGTGGACACATACAGCAGGACCAGGTGGGAACCCTGCCTGTGAGTTATGCATAACTGACCTGGACCCCTGAATCCCCTCACCCACCACCCACCCCATTCCTCTCACAGATTCCACAGCTGCAGGAACCCAGCCTTAATCTGGAAGTGTCCTTGATCTCCTTCTCTGAATCCCTCACCCAGGCTGAGGTCCACCCTGCAAACGCCGCTCCTCTCTGATCCCAGTGATACCTGATTCATTCTTTAGCACCAGGTCTAGAGTCATATGCACCCAAGATGTTCACCATCTTCCTTGGGTCTCCGCCCCTACTTTTGGCCATCCTGTCCTGGCTGAGACCAGAGTACCTTGCAGACAGACATGTGTCCCCTCTGGAGGGGCCTCCCCTCCTTGTGCTGGGGAGCCCCTGACAGTGGCATCCCTGCTCCCTCTTCTTTTCCCTTCCCTCCCCCGCTGTGCCCAGGGAGCGCTGGGGCTCTGGGGTGCAGGGGAGGGACCGGAACCCACCTCACCAAGACACAGCTCCTTCCTGCTCAGAGTCAGTTTGCTGCCCTCTCTCCCAGAATATTTATGGAAAGTGGCGACCATAGTGGTCAGGGCCTTCTCCAGAGGCGTCTCCATCACGGTGTGCAGTTCCAGAGGCTGAAGGGAGAGGGAAAGATCACGTTCCCCAGGAATCCGGACCCCATCACTAATCCCTCTCCAAGCTTCTCCTTTAAGTGGGACCAAAGTCTAGCACGTGGACCACAATGTCTCAGGACAGGCTGTAGTGAGACCCGCAGCAAACTTGGAAGAGCCAGAGCCTGACCAGCCCTGGAAGGAGACTGCACACTGTCCCGCTTAGAAGATGTTGAAAAAAAGGTCTAGGGGCAGAGGGAGTAACAAGCTGACCTCCTCAGAAGAACTGGTGACAGATGGTGGAGCCAGTGAAGGGTCAGGGTTTTCTTCCGGCCTGACCCAGCTTGGGCACTCATTTTCCAGAGGTCGTTCTCCTTACCCTAGTCACCCCCCTTGGCCCAGGAGACTGAACCACCCACTATCAGGAAGTGTCTCCTTAACAGAAGTGGGGAACAGGGCAAAGAGAGAGTCTGGGGTTGGAGGAACCTGGGGCTGGAACTAGAAGATAAGATCTCAGCAGGAAGCTGAGAGGGGTGACAGGACTTGTTCCTCTGGTCCCCAGGCTCCAGCCCAGAGAACTGTACACACAGACCAGTCATGAGTCAGTGAAGGAAGTGGGCCTCCTCTCCAGGGTCATTGTGAGAGCTGGATCCAGAGACTGGGTCTACTGGGGCCCTCCAGTCCACCAGCCCAGCCACACACCCCTCCAAAGCTTCTTAGCTGTTGGAGCTCCTGTGACTCAGACTTGGAAACCACTTCCCCTTTAGGCAGGAAGGAGCCAACGCCCAAGGAACTTGGGGGCTGCAGGTAAATCTGTGTAGAGTCCTGAGCCAGGAAAGGAGGAGGAAGCTACTGTCTCCTACCCTCAGTCCGAGGCCCACCTGGCTATTCTTGAACTGGACCCGTCATTCATCTCCGACCACCCCGAACCCTCAGCTTCTTGCCACCACCGGGAGACTCAGCCAGGACCACAGTGGAAGGCGAGGGTCTCGACAGTTGCAGCAGCCTCCTGGCTGGTTCTGATCCCCACCTCCACCTCCAGAGCCACTTCTCAGGAAATTTTCGTAGCCATGATGCCAAATACCCGGCCCTTTCCTCCCTGAACACATGCCCACTCATCAGACCCAGCCTTTCTTGGTGGAGGTCACCAGAGCTTGTCAGCCTCTGGCCTCATCGCCCAGCTTGCCCTACCGTATAAATGAGCAGGGAGATCAGAAGGAAGGACTCACCAAGGAAGAAGGGAGCCGGAGAACTCACGCGGCAGACACAGGCTGCCTGCCACTGCTCTCTGCCTTTATTCCCTTGCTCCAGTCCCCAGGAAACCAGGGGAAAGAAAGGGCCAATAAGAAGGGGCCAGGGACAAAGAGGCTTGGGTCAGAGCCTCCTGGGACGTGGCTGCAAAGAAACCCCCTTTTGCCAATCTCATCTTCCTTGTTTCTAAACAGAGGGGATGGGAGCATACTGAATTTACCTTGGTACATACATTTTCAATCCCAGTTTTGTCTGTCCAACCAAAACCCAGAACTCACAATCTGATGGGACGAAAGCCAGGATCCCTGGAAAGAAGAATCAGGAGGTATGCAGGGTATCCACCCATACCCTAGGCTGCTCTTTGTATTGGAGCCCTCCCATCCACCCCACGAGCAGAACAGATGCATCTCAAGATGGGAATCAGCAGGGGAAGATGTTTCCTGCCAAGGGCATGGTCAAGGTCATTAGTGAGTATGGAGACTAAGATTTTTAAAGGGCTTTTCAATGATGATTTCTTCGACACCTCACTGGTAACCATGGGAAAAAAATTGTCAGAGACCCTTGGGGAACTGAGAATCAGGGAGACCAAGGCGGAAATCGGGGCAGGGTAGGGCTGGGTGATGGGGTAGAGGCTATGGACCCTGGGGAGCAGGTTCAAGGTGCAGTAATGACCAGGGTGTGGGTCAAGGAGATTTGCCTATACCCCAGGAGAGACTCAGACATTACTCTGAGTCTCTGTGATTAGTTGCTCAGTCGTGTCTGACTCTTTGCAACCCCATGGACTGTAGCCTGCCAGGCTTCTCTGTCCATGAGATTCTCCAGGCAAGAATGTTGGAATGGTTTGCCATGCCTTCCTCTAGGGGATCTTCCCAAACCAGGGATTGAAACCGGGTCTCCCTCATTGCACGTGGAATCTTTACCATCTGAGCCACCAGGGAAGCCCAGGAATACTGGAGTGGGTAGCCTATCCCTTCTCCAGGGGATCTTCCCAACCCAGGAACCATGTCGGGATCTCCTGCATTGCAGGCAAATTTTTAACCAACTGAGCTACCAGGGAAGCCCAGACATTGTTCTACCACCAACCAGTTCAAGAAAGAGAAGAGAACAGAGTTAGGGGCTTAGTGCCTGTGGCTGATGCCACCTCACCCTAGCCTGCCTAGATGCTCCCTGCTGCCCCCAATTCCACTCCCACCCTCAGCTGCCAAAGGTAAAGAGGCAGCAGGGATTGGTCGCTAAGCAACAGGAGTTTCCAAAGTAGAGAGTGATGCAGAAGGGAGACTCAGGGGAGGGCACTCCAATGGAAGATGGGCAGACCAGGGCGGGGGATGAGGGGGGAGAAGGAAGAAGTGGCAAACTTTTTCCTGGATCAAAATTCTATCCAAGTCTCTGTAGTCACACTCTGAAGGAACATCTGAGTCACCTACCCCACTCCTCTGCAACTTGAGAGAAAAACAATGTGATGAGAAGAAAAGGGGAAAGCTTGAAAGGTCACGGGAACCAGACCTTCTCTGTCTCTGGACCTGCCTTCTACTCACCTCTTCATTGAAGGTCCCTGTACCACCCAAGCAAGGCCTGGAAATCTAATCCCCACCCACTGCAGGCTGGAGCCGCTGGTCTTTAACCTAAAGAGAAGCACTATCATGCCTGATACATTCTGGAGGGTGGGGGAGGAGGGGAGGGGAGTCTCAATCCACTTATCAGATCTCAGGCCTGGAATTTGTCTCCAAAACTCTGGTCACCTCCCACTATCTCCCTCCCTCCCAACCCAGTTACTGTCCTCCACTCATCAGTTCCAAGGTCCTTTGTCCGCCTCTGATGGAGCATGACTGTTAACTGGTAACAAATCTCATCCTAGGGCCTCCGGGAGAGATGGGGTTAGAGAAGGATGATATTCTCATGCTGTGGCCATCAACCTGCCCTTCCTCCATGTCACCTCCCCGATCTGACCCTGGACAGGAAGAATTCATCTTTCCTGGGGTCTGAAGCCAGGGCACTGGAACAGGTGGCAGGCAGGGTCTGAGCTGTTAAGTGTCAGGATTGAGCCTTCCTCCCCATTCCACTCTGGCCTCACTACTTCCTCCCCATGACTCAGCCCTTTCCCCACCACCCCAGGGCACCCACACTCCATTCCAGACTCCAACCAGGAGCAGATGTGACCTTCAAATTCATCCCAGCCTCAGTCAGAGGTCCTGCCAGAGGCAAGGCTGGGGAGGTGGGATGGGTGAGAACACTGGCTAAGATCCTACGGCTGGAGTGTTCCAAGCCTCCGGGGTCCCTTGCCCTGCCTTTGGCCCCATCCAGAGTCCATTCTTTCCGCCACACACACACACACAGTCGCCCGCATCCCTCTCCCACCCTCACTCGTCTGCTCTCCACTCCCCACAACACTACAACTCAACTCCAGCATCTTCCGTTACCCCCTCCCCACTGCCCCCACATTGTACCCCTCAGGCCCCACCCCATGCCCCCAGAGTTTCTCAGACCATCAGCCTCATAGCTTTCAAGAATCTTTATTGAACTTGTTCAGTATTGTGCTCACGTCTGGAGGAGCCAGGGTGAGGTGATGTGCCCACCACCAACAGGGAAGACCCCAGCTGGCAGCCCCCCACCACCCACACCTGAGGACCCTTCATTTTTTCCGGGGTTGCTTATCAGGGAAACCTTCGAAGAACTCATTGCACATCATGGCGATGCAGGACAGGAAGACACAGTACTCCTGGAAGTCTACCTCGTTGTCCTTGTTGCAGTCCAGGTTGCTCATCAGTTTCTGGAACGCAGCTTCATCCGTCCTTTTCTGCAGGAGGAAGAGGCTACCGGTGAAAACCAGAAGCGAAGTCGGGGTGGGGGAGTGGGGCAGAGCTAGGACTGGAAGAGGTTTGCACCTCCAGATGGGTGCTCAGGAAGGCACCAGCACCCCTTGGCGGGCCTGGCTTTGGACCTCCAGCCCTAGGGGCTAAGCTACCCCTCAGATGAAGTCTGAGGACCTAGGTACAACTGGACAAAGGAGACCACAGCATCTTCTGCCAAGGTCATTTTAAGAGTCCAGTTATACAATGGTCATGAAAGCAATATATAAACATCATAAAGGTTGATACAGATGGCATCTGGAATTGCTCGGGAGAATTCTGTAGGTGTGTGAGTGTCTGCAGAGAACTACATCTTCACGTCTACAAGCCAAATAGAAACTCAAAAATGGTTTATGGGGCAGGGGGATGGTGATAAAATAGGAACATGAGATTAACAGATATACACTACTGTATATAAAAGAGATAAGCAACAAGGATTTACTGTATAATACAGGGAACTGTACTCAATCTTGTAATAACTTATCATGGAGAAGACTCTGAAAAAACAGATATGTGTATATATAGCTAAATCACTTTGCTGTATACCTGAAATGAACACATTGTAAATCAATGATATTTCAACTAAAAAAAGGAAGGCATACAACTTTCACAGAATCTTAAAAAAAAAAAAAAAAAAAGAGGTTCATTGCTGGAGTGATGGCAAGAGCTCAAGCATCCTAGTTCATGATCTCAGCTTTAAGCACTGGGTACCTTGGGAAGTTACCTAGCCTCTCTGAGCATCCGTTTCCCTCCAGGGAAGTTGTGCAGAGCACCATACCCTGTCTATTCACTCTGCCCTCTCTCTGAGGGTGCTAGCAAGTGAGCGGTGGGTGCCCACTGTGCTTTGGCCCCAGGCAGCCAGGGTAAGCTCTCTGCCCGGAAACTGCCCGTGTCAGCAGCAGATACCAGCTGTAGGTAGTGCTGAGCAGAGGACGGGTGCCTCCCAGGCAGTGTCACTCACCCCCAGGAAGCTGGGCAGCTCCCGGGTCAGCAGCTCCTTTAGCTCAGACTTGTTGAGTTTGAACTTGTCGCCCTCCTTGCCCGAGTACTTGTGGAAGGTGGACACCATCACATCGAGGGCCTTCTCCAGGGGGTACGCCATGGCAGCAGTCAGGAGCTGGGGGCAGGGTCACAGAGACAACCTTATTTTCCCCACCCCATCCCCAGCTATGTATTTGGAAATGCCCCCCACTCCCATCCCTCAGGGAGCACATTGGTGACACTGCTCCCATCCAGAAAGGGGTACAGCTCCTAGCGGGGGTGGGAAATTTATGCTTGAGGCAGCAAACTCCTGCAGGGCCTGGTGCTCAGGCTCTGGGTTCCAGGCAGCCAGCTCCCCAGAAGCACTTTCTCTCCACCCTCACGTGGTCCATTCACTCAATCCTACGGGCTCAGCCCACAGCAGCCCCACCCCAGCCCATTCTTTCCCCCTCCCAGCACTGAGCTGGGCGAGGCTGCTGGAGGCTTGCCCAGGGGCCTAGCGGAAAAAACCAGTGCATAGGGAGGGGCAGGGTGAGGTGGCAGCGGCACGGATGCAGGGGAGGGACAGGGAGGCCACCCTCCCTTGGGCCGGGCTGCTGTGTGCAAGACCGAGGCTCCTAGGACATAACCAGCCAGAGCCCACAGTCACCTTCTGCCTTCACTGTGTTTTCCACACACAAGTGTGCCCCCCAGCAGACACCAGCCATCGTGCACACCCACCAGTCACATGCACCACAAAACATACAGCAGTGACAACGCACGCAAGCCCCAGCATCACAGAACCCCCCAGACAGCTCCCACCCAGCCACCTGCACCCTTGTTGTTCTTCCTTGAATGCACACGCACTTGTGCGCACACACGCCACCCACTCCAGAGCCTCCACATCGGAATCTCACATCTGGACCTGTTTATCACCTCTGGCCCCCGCCCACCTCCCTTTCTCCTGCCCCCAGCCTCAACCTGACACCTCTTGCATGCCAGTCAGGCGACCACAACTCACCGAGAGAGAGGAAGTGCTGGGGAGAGATGATGGGGAGAGAGGAAGAATGGGGAGAACCCAGCAGTCTGACCTATTTATACCCGGGCCAGGCCCTGCCCATGGCAGGGGATGGGGGAGAACAGGACCCAGCCCTCCTATCGTGGGCTGATGTGGTGAACGCCACGGCCCCCCTCCACCCCCCTCCACCCGCCCAGCCGGGAAAGCCAGCTTCCTGCCCCAGCAGGCACAGACGGACACGGGAGAGCCCCAGGGGCACAGGCGGGGGCCTGGAGGGTGGGTGTGCACAGCTCAGCTTGAGTTTTAGGGAGCTGGGGCAAGGGACAGGTTGTGCCTGGGGTATGAGGGACAAGGAGGACGTGGTCCCCCCAGGCAGCCAGCATAGAGGGGTGGAAGGTGGCAGGTGGGAAACTGCCCTGGAACGTGGCAACCCAGAACACAGGGAGGGCACCTCAGGCTTGGTGCTGGGGGCGGCTCATGCCGCCCTGCGCCCTTCCCCAAAGAGCTTCCTACTGTGTTGAGTGAGCCCCGGGGCAGGAGATGGGGGTCTGGGGGGAGGAACAGGCTAACACCCAAAGGAGGCTTGGGGACACCCCAGGCACATCCTTGTAGAAAGGCACTGGATGCAGAAGTGATGGAATGGGGAAAGAGGGGCATGCCCTGGGGCTCAGGGAGGGACTGAAGAGACCAAGAGCACGGCGTGGCAGAAGGTGTTGGGAGGGGGCTTGGATTTGGGCTGGGTGTCAGGGATGAAGACGGCAGGTAGCAGAGGAAAATTAGAGTTGATGCAGCACAAAATGAGGGGAGGCAGGGATCAGGGGACCCTCCCAGGGTAAGGTATGAGCTCAGGGGAGGAGTCAGGGGTTAAACCCCTCAGGTGGCTGTGGCTTCAAGGAGAGGGGTCTGCCTAAAGGTCTCTCTCCTTCCCCCTTCAACAGCAGAGCACCCGCCCCCAGATGATCAGGGAGCAACACCCTAGCCCAACCCCTAATCCGATTACTGCTACACTCTGGTCTCTCATAGCCCAGGGCGGGGGAACAGACCCGCCCTCTCCCCTACAGCCCCACCCTCCTCCCGAAACAGCCAGTCTGGGGTCTGAGTTTGACCCCCCTCTCACCTCCTTCACAGCCCAAGGAAGCTTCGTCTTCAGAGACCCACCCAACACAGACAGACAGACAAGAGAGCCCCCCACCCCACCATCCTCCCATGGACATTGTCCCCGAGTTGCCCCCATTTCTTCCTGTTGGACATTGGGACCATTTCGTTTCCGCAGGGTCTGAAACTGCCCTCAACCTCCTGTCCTCCCGTGGAAAAGTCCAGGGAGGCGTGATGCCTCAGTGGGACTCTTATCCCAGGCCGTCGTCTCAGAAGAACCAAACGAAGCCAAGTGATGCCAGTTCTTTATTAGGAACAAAAGAGGCCTTTGCTGCCACAATCTCTCTCCCAGACATGCTCTTCTGGGCCTTGACAGCCACCCCCGCTGTGGCTGGTGGGGAGGCAGCGGCTGGCTGCTCTTCAGATCACTAGCTGTGATCCTGGGGATGGTCCCCTCGTGTCTCCTGGACTCATGGGTTGGCACACCAGGGGCAAACCTGGGAGATTCTAGAAGGAGGGGCACGGGGGGCTGGGAAGGGGAGAGCTGACGTGCCCAGGATGACCTCGGGGCAGAGAGAGGACCCTGACCTCTGCCCTCCGACAGCTGCCCTGCCCGTTACTGGGAGCAGGAGGGCTTCAGGGGGCTGTCCTTGAAGGACTCATGGCAGTAGACGCAGAGGCAGGCGAGCAAGCGCACGTACTCCACAAAATCCACCTGGCAATCCTTGTTGGCGTCCAGGGCACCGATGAACTGCTTGTACTCGCACTCCCGAAGCGTCGTCTGTGCGGGGTGGGGCGGGCAGGGACGAGAAGGCGGGCTGAGGAGGGCAGGGCAGCCTGGTGCACACAGCCAGCTTCCCTCCCGTCCACGCCTCCTCCCCGCAGTGGTCCCAGCCTTCAGCAACCCATGCCCCCTGGGGTCAACCTCAGCCTCCCTGTTCTGAGGATTCACCAGATCAGCTCCCCTCCCAAATCCTCTTCCTCAGCTCTTTCACCGACTGCCGACTGCGCGTCAGGCGTTCTTCACAGAGCTCTCACTCAGCCTTCCCAACTGCCCTGCCAGACAGTCTGGGAGGTGATTTTCTCCCACTTCACAGATGAAGAAACTGTTGTGCCCATTTCCCTCCCAGCATCCCTCCCCACAGTCTAACCTCCACCCCCTCGTGCCCCAGACTCAGAGCAGGGTCTCTTCGCAGACTCCAAGCAGTGCTTCCCTCGTGGGCTCAGCCCAGGTGCTCACCGGGGTCCAGGTAGGCAGCTCCTTCTCCAGGAGTTCCTTGAACTTCGCCTGGCAGAGCGGGTTTCCAGAGAGCTGTGAATATTCCTGAAAGGTGCTCACGATAGTAGCCAACGCCTGCTCCAGAAGACTGGCCATACTGACTGTCATGGAACAAAGGTGGCAGAAGCCAAGTCAGCCCCTCTTCTCACCTCTGCATTTCGAGTGTCCCAGGGACTGCGCCCAGACCTGGGTTAACCCCCTACATGTTTCCGGACCCACAAGCTCCCCCTCCTCTGAGCAGCCCTCCTTGACCATACCAGCTCTTCCTCATTTATTTTCCAACCACCCCCACCCTCTCCCACCACCACCACTCATTCTATTTCTGGACAGAGGCCTTAATTGCCCAACATCACTGCAAACCCCTCAGGGAGAGTGGCCCCCCTTTATCTCACTCCCCCACAGTGGTGGTAGTTTAGCCGCTAAGTCATGTTGGACTCTTTTGTGGCCCCATGAACTGTAGCCAGACAGGCTCCTCTGTCCAGGGGATTCTCCAGGCAAGAATACTGGAGTGGGTTGCTATTTCCTTCTCCAGAGGATCTTCCCAATCCAGGGATCAAACCCTGGGTCTCCTGCCTTGCAGGAGGGTTCTTTGCCATCTGAGCCACCAGGGAAACCCCCACCTATTTTCTCCATCTTTTCTCATCTGACACCCAACAATGGCTCAGTCCAGCTCTGCCTCACCCTCTGAGACACAGCACCCTGATCCTAGAATCTTCCTCCCCTTCAGGACCCCAGAGCCCCTTCCATAGGAACCTGCATAGAGATCCTTGCTCTGGGCTCCCGGCCTCAGGCCCTTGGCAAAGCTGAGCATCCTTAGAGAGAGTCAGGTCTCAGAGGAACCCCTACAGTCTCACCACCACCCCCTCACCATCCCTTCTGCCCTGAATTCGGGGAAGCGGCATCCAAAGATCCACTATGCCTCTGACTAGCTGTGCAGGTGAGGATGAGCATTTACCCAGTCTGGGTTTCAGGTGCCTTATCTGTGAAATGGGGTTAATCCCACCTCACAGACCTAATCAGGGACCTGAATCAGATGGTCTCTGGAGACAGCCAGCTCCCGTAGGGACCAATCCATGACCTGCCCCAACTATGGCCATCCCCCTGCCCCCCGAGGGTCTTGAGAGCGAAGGCTCTGCAGACAGTCACCCCGTTCTGTTAGACGGGAAGCCCTCCCAGCACTGCCCACCCACCCCCATTCCACTGGCCCCTCCCACCGCCCTCCTGGGAGATGCCTCCAGCCTGGGGAAACCCTAAGGCAGCCAGGAAGACATGTGTTGTTTCCACGTGAGTGAGTGACTCACTCCCGGTTCCCCCAGGGGACAGGAGCCCGGCAGCACGCGGCAGCCTGGGCCAAGGCCCTCCCGCCCTAGTGATTTGTCCTCTGCGGAGCCCTGCAGACGGTCAAGAGTGGGGAGAGAGAATGGGGTTAAGTGCTGCCTGGGCTTTAACGCTTTGTGACAGCCCAGGATTGGAACAAAGTTCCGGGTTCCCAGGAGATGAAAGGGCCGTGATGGCAGGAAATAGGGAAATGCAGAGGAGCTGAACTGCCCTCTGGGCTCCCGCCAGCCTGCCTGGCGCCACCACTGTGGCTTTTTCAGGAGCTCGGTGCCTGGAGACTAGAGGGAATCCTCTCTTGCCCGCCTCCCTGGCCCATTTCGCCCCCCTGGCAGGAATGAAGAGAGTGGGTTAAGGGGGGAATTAACTATGGGCAACAGCAGTGGTTTAAGCCCATCTATCCATCCCTCAGCTA